CTTGGGCTGCACAGAGAGACCTTGTCTCAAACAAACACCAAAACCAACAACAAAAATAACCAAAACTTGAAATTGAATGGCTACATTTGGCATGATAACAGACAAAGGAGAAGATAGAAATAGAAACACTGAAATCACTCAGAACATACAGTAAAAGGAAGAAGATGGAGTACACAAACAACAGAAGGGAACACACCTCTCATGCTCTCAAAACACGCAAAATAAAAACTGGCACGAGAAGAAGAAATAAACTCCTAACAGCAATAGATTGTTTTCTTTTTGGAGCCAAGTCCTTACTACGTAGCTCAGGCTTGCCTGAAACTCCCCACACAGCGCAAGCTGGCCCCGGCTCCCACGACCCAGGCTTCCGGGTGTGCACCACCATGCTCAGCATGTAATAGGAGATTTACATACACCTCGCTTAAAAATTTACAGAACAAGCAGGCCAAAGTCAGTAAGAGGATTTAAACAAGATGACTGATAACGGTGACCCAGTGCAAGTATTCTCAGCACTGCCCTGAGGCCTGCAAAATACGTATTGATCTCATACACAGAACATCTACAAAAAAAAATACAGTGAGTGATAAAGCACGTCTTGATAAATATGAACAGACTGAAATAACAGAATATAATCTCTAACTTCAAAATATAATTAATCTAGAAATCAATTATACAAATAATTTATAAGGTACACATGTATTTGGAAACATATATACAACTATATCACATATACATACATATATATATGCATATATACATATATTTATATACCTTCCATGACACAAAGAAGAAAAAAATACAAACTATTTTCACCAAAAGATAACAAATTCTATGTATCAAAACTTGTGGGAAGCCATAAAGCAGTATTTAAAAGACAAACTATGGTGGGTACTATGACACAAATCCATTAAAAGGTGTCTGCGAAGGTAAGACACATCAGGTACACACTGCTGGTGTGAGTGCAAACTAGTGCCACCTTCATGAAAAACACTGTAACATTTTCTAGACAAACTGAGTTCATACACACCTTATATCCCCTCATTCCATTCCAGAGTACATATCCTAAAAATAATGTATGCTATGTGCACCAAAATACATAAATAATAGCCATAATATTGATTGTAAATGCCAAAATCCAGAAAAAACTAATGTCTACCAACAGCAAACAAGGGCGTTCTGGTATTTCCATATACACATATTTTCATATACACATATTCACACATATTCACTGAGAAGTACTGAACCATAAAGATACTTAACAAGTATGAACAAGATATTAACACGGATGAATCACAAATACTGAGCAAAAAAGCAAGTCACAAATGAATACATACTACGTTGGTGCACAGTTCAGAAGCACACGACTCAGCCTATATTGTTTCAGAATGCAGAATAATGATTACTAAGGACGTCAAAACAGGGGTCATCTATGCAGTGAACCCCTGAGGGCTGATTTCCCCAGCACTTGCTTTACAACTACCTGTTACACGGTGTGCACTTTAAATACACCTTTTTTGTATTTTACATTATATAATAAAATACATAAAAGAGGAACAACAACAAAACAACCATAAAGAGTTGGTAGAAATTTCCTTCTCATAAAAAATCATCATTACCTTTCTTGAGACCATGTAAGACCTCAGGACACCCTGGCATCACTCTGCCAGAGCGGGCACACAGAGAAGAGAGGGAAGACCAAGGCCTCACATAAACCCAGCCCTGGGCACCACAGAACCAGAACCCGAAGGGAGAACTGCCTTGCTGAGATCCATCATGACCAAGCACCACAGGAGAAAATATAAAAATGACTGTGGCAATGGAAAGGAATTATTATTCTACCTACCAAACTGCATTAATGGTCAATATGAGAACAAAATCCAGAATCTGTTACATCTTACATTGCGCCAAGAGTCCTATGATGTGCGTGCGACTCCTCCCTGATCCACAAGGCTGCTCTACCCAGCTGCATCGGTGGCCAAGTCACCAGTGTTGGAGCACAGCTGCTCCTTGCAGTGTATGCACTTGCCACTGCCTCTGCCTAGAAGCCCCTCTCCCAGGTTTACCAGGGCGCTGAGCAGACATCTCATTATTGAAGACAATCATCCTTTATGAAACAACAACTCCACTCCTGGCTTTTTTTCCTTATAGCACTTACTATTACTCAATATATTAAATATGTATTTAAATCTTTGGTGTTATAGGCTCTGCTTAATTGTAGACTCCATCTTGGGGGCAGCTACTGTGTTGTATTCACTTCTATCTTTCCCCCATGCCTAAGGTAGTACTTAGTAAGCAAACAATCAATAAATTCTGAATGATCACTTGCTGTTGTTAAACATACTTGAATGCCTATAAAACTAACTGGAACCTTGGTTTTACTTTAAATCAGGCCCCAAAACAGACCTTAAGGAAAATTAATTGAACTTTATATTTGTGATCTTTCTCATAATTCTATACTTCCTTACTGGAGCTAAAACGAAAAAGAGTCAAGATCAGAACTCTGGCACTTCCAGATCAACTTTCACCGAGACAGGGAGTGGAACACGTCTAAACGAGCCTTGAAACTTCATACATAGAAATGTTTGATACTTCAAAATACCATCAGTCTCATCCCACCATCCCCATCACTGAAGTAATGCAAGGGAATAAAAATTTTAGCAAAAAAAAAAAAATTAAGCAAATAAAACCTAGAAAAGAAACATGGTTCTCTATAAAAAGATTGTGGAGATATTTATATGAACTGTCCACTTTTGAAGCATGGGAAGCTGGTGGTATTACCATCTGCATTAGTTAGCCTTCTTATTTTGTGACAAAACACCTGACGTAAACAACCTAAAGAAGGAAGGACCTCTTCGGCTCAGGTTTTCAGTGGGTTCAGGCCATGGCTGTGTAGCCTCCACATGCTTGAGCAGAACATGGCAGCAGAAGTGTGAGGAGGAAGAGGCCATTCACCTCAAGGTGACAGGAAGAAGAGCAAAGCTGTAACAGGAAGTACCAGGGCAAGATATACCCCCAGTGACCTACTTCCTCCAAGCAGGCCCACCTTCCAAACTTGTACCACCTCCTCGTAGTGATTTCAGATTTTGAATCCATCAGTGAATTAAACCATTCATTAGGTCAGAGTCCCCATAATCTAATCCTCTCTAGAAACACCATCATGTGCACAGGAAGGTGTGCTTTACTCATCCCCTAGAGTTTCTCAGTATAATTAGCTGACAATCAAGATTAACCATCATATAATCTTTACACTTTAACATTCAAGGAGTTACACATTCTTCTAAATACTATACCACAAAAACTGTATGTTAACCAGTATCTAAAAATTCAAAATACATCTTTTTTTCCTTTTCTTTTTTTTTTTTTTTGCGGTACTGGGATTTGAACTCAGGACCTACACCTTGAGCCACTCTCCACCACCCCTTTTTGATGAAGAATTTTTTTCGAGATAGGGTCTCACAAACTATTATGTCTGGGTTGGCTACAAATCTCGATCCTCCTGATCCCTGCCTCTTGAGTAGCTAGGATTACAGGCATGAGCCACCAGTTGCTGGTCAAATTAACATCTTTATATTTGATTTTAATAATAATTCCAAGTTAAGAAAGCAAGATACATCCTCTTTTGGGAGTTCTAAATGACATCTTGTAAATTAGTTTTTTGGGTTTTTTTGTTTTTGTTTTTTGGGGTTTTTTTTGGCAGCACTGGAGTTTAAACTCAGAGTCTCACACTTATGAGGCAGGTACTCTACCACTTGAGCCACTCCACCAGCCCAAGATTTTTAATAGATTTTAATCCAAACAAATTCCAGAATTGAATCCTACAATGGTATCTATGTGACCATAGAGGTATCAAAAAATCTATTCTTTTTCATTTTTCAGCGCTGGGGATCAAACCCAGGACTTTATGCATGCTAGAAAAGTGCTCTACCACTGAGCTACATCCCCAGTCCTCAGTTTTTTGAGACACAATCTCACTATGTACCCAAGGCTGACTACCCATGCTGACATTACAGGTGTGCATCACCATACCCTGCCATAATTTCTTTTTACAATTTAATATGTAAATTCAATTTACATATTATTCAGTAGTTTGATTCATCCTTATTAGAGGAAGCCCCTAATTTAAGAGTGACTGGTATCTAAAATTTTGCCTATAAGGTGATTTGAAATTTATTTTCCTATGAAAAACTTTGTGGGCTTATGCATGCCTAGGATGTTCCTATAATTTACTATCACAAAACAGTCACTAGTGCTTCAGTGGAGGGGTGTGGACTGGGGGACAGGGAGTGGAACCAAGAGGAGAGGGTGGCTAAGCTGAGAAGGAGATGAGACGTCTCTGCTCCATGGTGGCTTCTACCAACAGCCACCACCTCACAACACCTGCTACTGCTCCTTACACGACAGCCCTAGTTCTTTTCCCACCTGGGCCTCTTGGCGGGGCTCTCTGCAAACTGTCATGGAGGAAACTCCCCCTCTCTCCCTAAGCTCTCCTAGGATCACTTGAAGACAGAGGTTCTCAAATGGGGACAATTTTGCCACCCAGAGGACACATCATGTAGAGGAAGACTTCTTTATTGGTCAGATCTGAGGAAAGATGGAGTGAGTGCTACTGCCCTCCAGTGGGCAGAGGCCAGGGTGCTGTCGAACACCTACACCACACAGGACAGAACCCACCACAAAAGAATTTCCCATCCCCAACATCTGCAACGCGAAGTTTAGAGCCCCTTCTCTAAAAGACTTGTACAACTGGTTACCAGAAATGCTCAAACAAGAAGAATGAGAGAACAAGGGAAAGGTATGTACCAGGAGGGAAAGAAAACAACATGTAAAAAAAAAAAAAGTAGCATAAAAGGAAACGAACTTCCTAGGTTATCCTTCTGCTCTGAATGGTCATTTCACATGAGGATTACACACAAGCCAAGCACATGGAAAACTGTTCTATTTGGACATACAATTTCCAAGTCAATAAAAAAGAGTTTACTTCAAAAGCTACCAGAACTGACCGTGGAGCGATAGTCTTTCAGCAAAACAGGATATTGTATCACTGCTTCGAAAGCCGACAATGTGATCTTGATGAATTCTTCTGATGCTGTTGGCCCTGGGAATACAGTCAGTCATTACTGTATACATTTATTCACATTTTCAAAATCATAGTAGCAAACTACCTCAAACACAGGCACAAAATGCCCCACGGTCTACTCACCTATGGCTCCATCTATGTTAGTTTCTCCTGAGTCTACTGACTTAATATGACTCTGAAAATAATAAAATTTTTTAATAAATGAGGGTTTTGAAAAAACTGAAATAAAATAATACTTTCCCTAAACTGCACTTATCACTCTTAATGAAAGAGCTTATGGAAAACACTAAATGTTCTACATATATTATAAACACTATAATCATAATTCTAAAATGTAGTTATACTAAATACTATAAATTATAAAGCACAATCATTTTTAAATATATGAAACACTATCGATAAGATTCAATATTGGCGTAATTTCAATAGTAAGAAGTGAGAATAATCCTACTGATAGATAATCCTTTCCAGTAACATGACACCCTCACGCCCTGGCAGGCTAGGGTGAATGACACCAAACCAGGTGAATGGTCATCTCCAAGGAAGGTCAGCCTCAGTTCCCTGCCTACAAACTGTGTCAAGATCAAGACACAGCAGTCTGGTCTCACACCCTGTGGTGGAACCTCACTCCTGTGCTAGTCCCTCCTAGACCCTTCCCACTCCCAGACCCTGGTCTGTGCTCCCACACCAGTGCTGATGCTATGCAGCTCAGCCATGAGCCCACTCAGTTCTCAGCCCCAGGGGAGGAAGCTACCAGGTCCCTGGCTGGATGGATACTTAGGACAGACCAGGTGCTCCCTAACCAGGGCTCCATGATTTCAGCGGGACCATAGCTGCCACGGCTATGAGAGGCAGAGCACCTTTGTTTCTGATGTGTGGAGACATGGCCACAGAGTCCTTGTCCTTAGCACTTAACACGACATTATATATAACAAACAGCAAATAAAAATAAGTGACACAGAACTATAAAAACAAAATATAAGCAACTGGACCAGAGCAGAAATTGGTCCAACCATACTCCAATGGTATTTCTTAAAGTTGACAGATATAAAGTTTATGTAATATATACAAAAGAACATACATATATATTGTGTTATAATGAATAAAGAAAAGTCCTAAATGTACTGGTTTACTAAAACTTAAGAATTAAAATACCCCCAGTTCCTTGCGTGAACTCCCCCATTGCACCTGCCTGTCCCCCAAAGATAACCACTCCCTGAATTTATCATGCCCTTGATATTTTAAAACATTTTCCACATATACACATACCTCTAAGTAGTATATTTATAGGTAGGTATGGGCATATTTTAGTTAAATTTTTAAACTATAAGTTTTACTAAAATTAAATCAAACTGTTTCCAGTTCATGGAAATGAGACCATATAGAGAGCCATTATGATGTTTAGAAAAAATAGTTTTCTAAAATATGGAGAAATACTTGATATGTTAAATCCAAAAAGGCAGACTATAAATCCATAAGTATACACATATATGTCTCACCCACAGTATCTATATATGTCATAGGCATGTTATGAATACTATTTTTAGATATACAAATGCATGTGCATGAATAGAAAATATTATTAAGGAAACAACAGATTAACAGTGATGGTCCTGGGAATGATTTGTTTTCTACATTTTTTTAACAAGCATACATTTTATAATTTATGTAAATAAGCATAGATTACCCTTAAAATTATAAAAAAGTCTCAAATACATTCAGCAGCTAGGTTATAACAAAAAATCAGATAATCTAGGAAACAGAAGCTCTTTGTAAACTAAAAATATAGGATGCCTTCAATTCTCTTTTTCAGTCTATAAATAATCAATGAAAAAATTCTTGAAAATTTAAGTTCAAATTTTCAAAGTAAGACACTGTAAGCTTTTCAGGATAACTGGCTGAGTTTCACAAAATTCCAAAATGGGGCATAACTTTTATTTGATAGATATGAACTTGATGCTAAAGTTAAAAATTCAGAGAGAAGGAGACATCCTTCAGTTTAAATAAATCTGCTTAAATGCCTGTGGGTTGCCATGGGAGGCAGGCTCAGAGCAGTGTGTACACTATGATCCTTCCTGTGCAATTATTTTGAGAGAATGTGTAGATAACACACAACAGCTGGTGACGTAAGCAATAATTTTCAAGGGAGAAATTACAGAAAGGACGCACAGTGGTTCCTTTGGAGCCTGAGACAGGAGGGGGGCCGCCACTTTTGTTCACTGCTTACTGTACTCTTGGGATTTTTCTAAGCACTTACGCATCTTTCCTTTGACCCTTTTTGAATGTCAATGAGAGTTACCTAGCTGGAGAAATTAGGGGCTCCTTTTAACTACTTCTCTCCCTAGCACTTCCTCTATTTAATTAAAAATATAACTACAAAATGTTTCCTTGATTTTCAATGTTAACATTTTTGATATATTATTTCAATGTTAACACTTTGATATATTTCTTCATTCTTGGTGAAACAGAAAGTAATGCGATAAGAGGGAGAATGGAGTGGGAGGCACTGGAGACTCAGGGGAGAACAGCAGAGATTAGCATGGAAAACAAACCAGATGCATCAATCTGCAGAAAGAGCTCACTTAAGATAAGTAGTCCTGAATCGAAACCAAGATGGCTTTCATTGCATGTTTCTCTAGCTGTATTTAACCCTCGAAGCTGAGTGAGGTTGGTAGAGAATGAAATTTAACCAAGATGAGGGTTTGCTGAGGAGAACACTGGAGGAAGAGAGAGGAAAGGGAGTTGTGGGTATATGCAAGACAGTGATAGCTGCTGAATGGGGAACTCCAATCTGAATACACAAAGAAGTGAAAGAAGCAGAGTCATCTGAGGGCAGACAGGATTGCAGAGGGCTGGGAAGGACAATTTGAGTCTCAGGAGTTGCGGGACTGATGGAAAACAGAGGAAGCTGGAAACCAGGGCTAGCAGCCAAATAGTGGGATGTGGTCAGGAGGGTTAAGAGACTGTCCCTAGGACAAGCAGCTAAGGGAGAGGCAGGATGGTACAGAGAAAGGCAGTGGAGAGGTTGGGAGGCTGAGGTATTGGCGGGATACCACAAAGGAGTAGCAAGTGCTCCACAAATGGTGACAGGAGCAGAAAGAGATAGGAGCCAGCACAATGACAGAAGTATGTTGAGGAATGAGGGTCAAAGACCCAGATATCAGCAGACACCTATACACATGGGTTGCTCCTGGTGGTGTGAGTCAAGCAGCAAAGCTTGGAGGTTTAGCAGAAAGCAAAAAGCAATGGACACAAGCCCCACAGCTAGGCCCACAGGCTGGAATAGCAAGGGGCAGAAAATGGCCCCATCTAGTGAGCAGGAGGGACTGCTGCATCCGAAGGGTAGGCCTGTGCCCTTCACTATTCCTGAAAGAAATATCAAAATAAGCACCTAGAGAAAACTGGGAATATAAATTTATGGTTGGCTCAAGGACAAAAGGTCTCACTCTTGGGGATATACCCAAAAGACTGTGACACAGGTTACTCCAGAGGCACCTGCACACCCATGTTTATTGCGGCACTATTCACAATAGCCAAGTTATGGAAATAGCCAAGATGCCCCACCACTGACAAATGGATTAAGAAAATGTGGTATCTATACACAATGGAATTTTATGCAGCCATGAAGAAGAATGAAATGTTATCATTCGCTGGTAAATGGATGGAATTGGAGAACATCATTCTGAGTGAGGTTAGCCTGGCCCAAAAGACCAAAAATCGTATGTTCTCCCTCATATGTGGACATTAGATCGAGGGCAAACACAACAATGGGATTGGACTTTGAGCACATGATAAAAGCGAGAGCACACAAGGGAGGGGTGTGGATAGGTAAGACACCTAAAAAATTAGCTAGCATTTGTTGCCTTTAACGCAGAGAAACTAAAGCAGATACCCTAAAAGCAACTGAGGCCAATAGGAAAAGGGGACCCGGAACTAGAGAAAAGGTTAGATCAAAAAGAATTAACCTAGAAGGTAACACACACGCACAGGAAATCAATGTGAGTCACCTCCCTGTATAGCTATCCTTATCTCAACCAGCAAAACCCTTGTTCCTTCCTATTATTGCTTATACCCTCTCTACAACAAAATTAGAAATAAGGGCAAAATAGTTTCTGCTGGGTATTGAGGGGGTGAAGGGGAGAAGGAGGGGGCGGAGTGGGTGGTAAGGGAGGGGGTGGGAACAGGGGGGAGAAATGAACCAAGCCTTGTATGCACATATGAATAATAAAATTAAAAAATAAAATAAAATAAACCAAAAAAACAAAAAAAAAAAAAAAAGTCTCACAGCAAAAACATTTGAATGGCAACAAGTAAGCATTCCATACTGTGTTTTCAAAAACATAACAGTGAGTATCTCTGCTTTATCTACAACAGAAGCCAAATTCTATCAACAGACCTACATTCACTTATAATAAAAATCTGCAGAGATCAGGAAGTGTGTCCTTTCTTAAGTTACTTTTTGTAGAAAACTACAACCACCACACAATCACTGTACTTTTATAAACTCATGAGGCCAGAACCTAACCAAATACAACCAAGTCCTCTTCATCAGCTCATTAATCAAAAGCATTTTTAAAAGAACAAAGAAATACAACAAATATTAAGTGAAGACACATCATAGTTTCTCTCACATACTTCCTTACTGTCATTACTTTATGTTTCTCAGCCCAGTTCAATGGAGGCCCCAAAGAATTTCAACATATATAGCAGAATGTCCCTACAACACTTCCCCAGAGACCTGCCTGGTCATGGAGACATGGAGAACAGGAGACCTTGGGAGAGGGATTTGGGCATGATAACAAATAATGCATGAAAATAGCAATTAGCAGCCAGGCAGTCCTTTTTTGCCTGGAGTATTTGAGAGCTTGATAATGGTTTAAAAGAATCCTGCTAAATTGTTTTCTAACTGTCGTCTCTTTAAATATAAGATCAAAACTTCATTTTACTTAGGAAAAAAAAAATGTTTTTGTAAACCTGATTTCTAAACTCATGCCTCCATATGTAAGAAGCATCCTGAATTTTTCTACCAAAAAAAAAAAAGAAAAGAAAATCTACAGGTCAAAAACCACTCCCTGGTGCCATTATGAAAACCGAAGCCAATGGAAGCATGATCTTATTCAGCCTGCTCCTGAGGGCCCCGTGAAAGAGCAGAGAACACACCAAGCCTGACCGCTCTCTCCACACCCACCCAGGGCAGGCAGGTCAACAGAGCCCTAGAGGTCCTGGCAGCAGCTGTTAAAGGAGGGCCATGTCTCAATACCTCAACTGAAGGTACATTTTAAAATAGAAAATGATAATATACTTGCCACAATACAGTAACTATTCTCCCAGATATACTGAAAATAATATATTTATCTGCAGATGGACCAAACACAGATGGACCATTTCCTCATGTTACCAGCACGAAGAAACACTGTGCTCTGGAAGGTCCCAGACCACTGGGCTGTGGACTGGGTTACAGAACTCTGAGAGCCATATAACCCTCTCTCCTAAAAACTTCTCAAGTTTAGGAATCCTTTGCTTAAGCAAAAGTAAATGAATGCTTTCACTTTCTAAGGGTTGTAGGATACGGAACAAGAACACTGTACCCCATGATATGTGTAGGGTACAGTCACCTGCATAATGTTTTTAATGACTTCCGGGAAGATGATGAATCAGCTCTGAGAAGCAATGTCCAACTCTCAATAGTTCACAGTAAGTGCACATGAGCTGTATGTGTAACTAAATCTATGTCCTAAATGTTGGTCAGAAAGTCACTCTCTCTTCTAGGATTTCATCAATGCCCAACGCTGAGGATAAGGAAGGTGAATACACAGGTGAGGCCAACAGATACAGTAAAAAAATGAGGAGATTTGGGGACAAGCCACGATTCAAACTAGGAAAAAGACTTGAACAGAGCCAAACAACCATCTTCTCCATTTAATATACCTAAACTTCCTCTACTTGGGTGAAATTATCACAGGAAAAAAATGCTAAAGATGTGAAATTGAGAACAAAAGGATCTTCCCTACGGCACTGCCTGAACTCACTGCTTCCTACAAGCAATCATTGCCACTCAACATCTATTGTTTAAAACATCCTGCTTCACCTTATGAGGAAACTTCCAGAAAATCACATTCTTACCTGTGGGTAGCTGCCCTTTTTTATTCCAAAATAACAAAAAAAATGAGATGCCTACTTCATTTTAACTAGAGACCTCTATGGCATTTTGAAAAATCTCAGTTCAGTTTATTTTAAGTATCAAAGTATGACAGGACATGCTCTGTGACAAATGCCTTAGCTTTTCCTTTGCTCTAGAGACAGACAGACAGACAGACAGCGAGGCTAGCAGAGTGGCTCGAGCAGTAGAGTGCCTGCCTAGCAAATACAAGGACGAAGTTCAATCACTGGTTCTGCCAAAAAAAAAAAAAAAGACTGTGGACAGAGAAGGGAGACAGAAAAATGTAATTCATGAGACAGCCTAAACAAAAAGATGATTTTATTTTTGAGCAAAAATTGTGTGAAAGATAGTACGATGATTTGGTTTTCATTTCCACCTATATCATCAAGATTAAACTAAAGAAAAAAACTAAACTGAGCTTTATTTCAAGACATGCCTTCATTTCCAGATACTACACATGGCTGCATGTGTACCTATGTAAAAAACCAATGAGAATATAGTCTTAGCCTTTCATTTTCACCACTTTTACTTTAAATTTTGCCATGGCGTTTAATACTGAAATCTAAGGAAGTGTTTCTCTGAACTTATTTACCCTCCTTAGGGCTGTCTCTGCACAAATACATTATCAGGAGAGAATGCATTTTTCTCCAAATGTCAAATTTTATTACAGTCAATAGATAAAAAATATAAAAAGGTCACTTCCCTCGAGACAAATAAATGCCACTAGAATTTTTAAATTACCTCTTATTGACATCAAATTCCACCAATGGTAGAAATAGCTATATTTTTAGCAGAAACATGAAAAAAGTGTTACTCACAAGAATAGTTCCGTAACTGAAAAGAAACTCTTCTGATACAACTTGAGGTCGAAACACCTGTGTGTGATGAGAATTGCCACCGATTAAATCCTGAAAGCCATGGGCAATTTTAGCGAGCGAGAGAGAAATGACAATGTTTTGCCTTGGTTGATGTGGCTCAGTACCTGTGACGTGACCAGATGAAGTACCACAGGCATCATGGGCAGGCACATCTTCAGCTGCTTCCCTTGCACCGTTGATGGGTGTTTGCGGCCAGACACAGTAGCCAGGACATTGAGAATGTCACCTGTGAGGCATATCCAGATAAAAGACCGCAAAACCATAGGTGCCTGATTATTAATGGGACTTGAAAGTCACTAATCTCCAATTCAAAATGGTTAGATGCTGTGTCTTTTTTATTCACAAATATTGAGATTATAACATACACTGTGTTATGAGACAAAATGTGATAATTCTGCACATACACTGTGAATTAAATCAACCTCTCATGTAGAAATTAAAAATAGAATTTATCAATGATGATAGCACAGCAGTGGCTTCAGGATTTGTGCTTGTATTTTCCTAACTTCAACTCTGACCACCTATTACTTTTGTAAACAGAAAAAAAATTCAAAATTATAAGTGAACAAATTATAGCTCAATCACAACTTGTTTTAAAAAAAAAATAGAATAGGACAGAAGTAAAAAGAGATCAATTTCCAAAACTTTTCACTGCATGGTGAATCAGACTTCTTTGTAAACATCAGAATTTTATCTTCATATCCTAAAACAGAATGGGTCCAATAATAAGGAGCTCAGCTACCAAGTGAGATTACAGCCTTCGGGCTACAGGTTAAAAATTATATATACAGCCCAAAATATAGGTACTCTACTGCCAACTACTGGCAGACCAAAAAAAAAAAATCCTTATTAGTAAGGAGCAAAAGAGCTGCTGTTGGGTCATAAAGATATGTTCATCTTTTTGATTCAGTAATCTGTATTTATGAGTCATAAGTATACATTCTAGATGGTTTAAATCAAATGTAACATTTATAGTACTTCCAGTTTATAGCTACATCTGCTGGAAAAGCATGAGAAGGGATTCAAACTACATTATGTACACTTCCCTTGAATTACTTTAATTTCTGCAAAAGATAAAATAGTGGATTTAACTGTAATAAACATCCTTTGCCAATCTTTATTAGACATTTTAACTTAAAATGTAATTTTTCAAGCCAAAAAAATTTTTCAAGCTTTGAACTTTAAACCAACTGACAAAACTCTCTAACATTAAATTTTAACATTTCAATTTATTAAATTAAAATCTATATATTTTAAAGTTCTTTTAACAATAAATATATTGATGGCTCTAGTTTCAAATGGAAGTTATTTTCTTCAGCTGTAGGCAGAGACAAATCTTGAAAAAAATTACCCCAAATAATCATATAAATATAATTTTAAGCAATTATTTTATTTTCTAAAACTGACAGTTTACCTAATGCCTCAATGTACATTTAGCTGTTCATGTCTCGATCATATCATTGATGCAAAGTAATTATAAAAAATAATTATAACAAAGCGAATTTTAAGTCATCAAACTATGCCTTCAAGAAAAGTATCACAGCACTTGTCTGCAAGAACAAGGATTAAAAAGCAGCAGTGCCAAAACCAAGAGGCAGAAAGGGGCAGCCATGGGGCCTTGGGAACAAGGCTTGGGTTTACCCAGGATTCGCGGCAGTTCCTGCACGATGTGACAGATGAGAAGATCCAAACACCTGGACAAGTATTCATTGCCACTCTGCCTTTCCTTGCCTGGAGTGGTCTTTCTGCTGTCCCTCTCGATATACATCACCAGCCTACAAACAGGAAAGCACAATGCTAAGACAGTAGATGGCATTGGTCTGAAAATGCCATCAAGGCGAACGTGTCTAGAGGGCGCTGTCCCATCATGTTGATGCTGCAATTCATAGAGACTTGTCAGGCACGGTCCATTTCTGCCTTAGAAAGCTCAGAATGTTTATGCAGAAAAAACAATTAGGCAACTTTGGCTTTCTCTGTCAGAGTATGATTTTCAATGCCTTTGGCCAATGGAAAAAGACAACACCCTCCAGATGATAACTGACAGCAAACAAAGCTGGCTGGGCACAAACAGCTGGGGTGCTTCAGGACTCAAAGAGGAGCCACGAGGTTATGTACTTCATTGGACACTAGTTTAAACTTGCTTGGAACCCCAGGAGATTCCCACAAATTATAATTGATTCAGCAAATTACGCTGTACAGATATGCAAAGAAAAGGTCTCATTTTAACACTGGTGATATAGATAGTGGACACTGTCCCAAATCTGGACTTCACATGTCTCTTAGTTTTATAATACTTGCCTTTTAACCACATCGATATTAGAGGCCAGTGTTTCCAACCCAGAACTAGCGAGCATACTGGACTGACACTTGGATGACATTAGGATGCTGCTGCAAAGTTAGGATGCCAGACCCTCCAGTCACTTTCCCACCCCCTCAACTGTCCAAAGGATGAGTCTGCTGAGTCCCTTTACAGCAGTCCTCCTGGTCACTATCTTCTACCTCTCCACTTCTGTGGTTCTCACTCATCCCACTGAACTCTCACTTCTGGGAGAATGTCCAACCAATTCCCACTAAAAACTGGAAACAGGTGGCTTTGCACATAATCCACTTAAGGTGGACTGAAATCTTGACACAGCATTTTTGTGGCTCTCTAATGTGTTTGTCTTTCTGTTTATTACTATTTGGAGCCCAATTAGTGAACACGCAAGGATGAACCCAAACCAGGAAGTTATCCTTGGTTCTGAATCATTCAACATCATCTGATCTAGTCACTGACGGCAGACCTGGTCTCACTCTTACAAATATATGACTGTAGTTTAAATGCAGACAGAATATTGAGGAGTCAGCAAAAAATGAATCAATACTACTTGAAAACTCAGACCACAAAATTTTTTGATAATGAACAAATCACAGAAGAATGAGAACCCCTCTCTTTCATGCAAGTGGAACTCCAAAAACATCAGTCATCTAAGTCACAATGAACTGAATGGGGCACCTAGGGGCCTGCAGCACAGCACACTGTCACCGCAGCGTTGGGCCACCCAGAGAATGGCTGTGATTCCAACATCTAAATTAGCTGGCCCTAACTTTAGCAGCCCAACCAAGGATTGGGACCAGAAAAGGCTAGGATCAAGGAGATCCATCTTCGTCCTTTTCTGTTTCCCAAAGTGGATTGCTCGGCATCTCCTAGGCTAGCTTCCCCATCTGTAGGACTGATTTTCCAAAATTAAATATTCTGACACCTAACTGCATTGTTTCCAAAATAAATACTCCACACACTCCCTCTGACTTACTCACTCAAGTTCTCCCACTGGGATAGCTCCTCGAGTTCCCAGGAATGTCTACTCATTGAATGCACGACGCTTCCTCTCAATCTATCAGCCCTTTCTTTTCTCCACTTTCTTCACAATTGGTTACATGATTATTTTATATTACTGCAATAAAATAGCTGAGCCAGGTTACTTATGAAGACAAAAGGTTGATTTATCTCCCAGTTTTGCCAGTTAAAGGGCTAAGTCTGGGCAGAGTCCTGATGTGCCATACAGTGTCACATGGCAAGAGACAGACACCTATTATGTGCCTGTCTCGCCTCTCTCTCTTTTCTTTGATTTTTATTACCATTTTTTTGTGTTTTTTTTGAAATGGGGTTATACTACGTAGCCTGGGCTGGCTTCAAATGTGTATGATCTTCCAGCCTTCCAAGGGCTGGGATTACAGGCATACATACCAAGTCCAGCTCTTTCCCTCCTTTTTCCCCCTTGGCAATACTGAGGTTTGAACACATGCTTGCTAGACAAGCACTACACCACTTGAGCCACTAAGTTTTGGGGGTTTTTTTCCAGATAGGATTTTGCACTTTTGCTCAGGGTCAACCTCATGAAATCTACCTACCTATGCCTCCCACATAGCTGGGGTTGTAGACATGAAACACCACATCCAGCTTATTTGTTGATATGGGGACTTGCTAACTTATTGTCCAGGCTGGCCTTAGAACCTTGACCTTACCAATCTCCACCTCCCAAGAAGCTGAAGTTACAGGTATGAATCACTGCACCCAGACCCTGTCTCCCTCTTCTTATAAAGTCATCAGGACTCAATGATGGGGACTTCACCCTAATGATTTTATCTAATCTCAATCACTTCCCAAAGGTCCCACCTCTACACACCATAGTCAAATTAAATTTTTACCTTTTCCAAATGGAGATTAAATTTTGACACATGAAACCTAGTAGGATAGCCAAGCTACATGGTAGCTGTATCCACCAGCCATCACTGCATTATACTCTATAGTCTTTCTTCTTCTTCCACCCACAATGAATTCTAGGTGAGAATCTTCATTTTGTACACATGGAGCAGACTCACCCCACTATAAGCATCTAACTCCAATACTGAATGACTTGGAGAGCAGTATTCTAACTACATTTCCTTATCAACTTATGCATACAGTATACTTTCAAATATTTCTTCTCTTCAAATCCCTAACCTCTATAAATTATAGAGAATGAAAACTATTGAAACCACCTATCTATATATGAATATAATATAATGTATTATATACAGCAATCTATTGAATATTAGGGGAGTATGGTGATAGAGAATAAGTAATGAAGGGAGGAGGTTAGTTTGATTAAAGCCTGATATATACAGGCCTAAAGTACGAAGGTGAAACCCCCTTGGACTATCACTTTACACTTTAAAAACATGAAGGGCAGGAGGGAAAATAGGTCTTTTCCAGGGGTGGGTACCAGTGGGAGAAGTGGGCATAAGGAAAGAGGGAATATGGGTGAATATGGTGAATGAATTTTGTATCCATATATTAAAATAGAAGAATGAAACTTGTTGAAATTGTTCTAAGAAGGGGAAAAGGGGAGGATAAAAATCTAACCTAGATATTTTATAAGCTCATATGTAAATATCACAATGTAAAACTATTATATGCTAATAAATTTTTTAAATCCCTAACCCTTGGCGAGACTCTCAGTGAGTGACTGTGCCTGGTACTGTACACAGAAAACTGAAAGCTACATATAGAAAGCCACCCTTCCCCGAGTCTCCATCCACATACCAATGGTGCATCCATCCTGGCATCTCTCTTGCCTCACAATGATGGATCTCTCCCCGCTTCCCTCTGGGCTGTGGATCTATCTATTCCCTTCCACCTTCTCAGAACCTTGAAACTGTCAATTGATCATTTTCCTTTATGTAGTCACTCTCTCACACTTACTAAAATACTTTTTGGGATCCTCTACTAGCCGCCCTGCTGCCTCTCATTCCCTTCTCTGTCAGGTCTCTAAAATGGAGATCTGCATATCCCACCTTCACTGTTTAATCTATTTTTGCTTGGTCCTCCCCCATCTCCCTCTCACTCCACCGCTCTCAATGGTCACCAACACCCTTCCTGACAGCACACCATGGCTATCTGTCTTGAGGGGTCAGCAGTACTCAACCTTGGTGTGGCTCCTGCTCATCTATCCATTCTCTGACATCACACTTCTTCAGTTCCTCTGCTTGTTCTCTGTGTCTTTTGCTAGTTCATGCTTCTAGATCTCAAAGTTATCAAGACTAATACAAGGCCTATTACTCTCCTCTCTCCATTCTTTTGACCTGGGTTATCTCAGGCTATACAGAAGAGAAATTGCCAGGTCACGAGGCATGCCTAGGTTCAGTTTGACATTGCCCATCAGTTTTCCAAAGTGGTTATTGTGGCAATTTGTACTCTGACAGATAGGTGTTACAATTCCAGGTGCTTTACATCCCTGCCCAATCCTGTACTATCCAGGACACAACCATTCTGGTGGGTGTGCACTGGGTTCTCCTGGTGGTTAAGCTGAATGTTCCTGGGGACAACAGGGTGGAACATCTTATGCTGACTGGCCAATGGAGATGACCACTTTTGTAAATGTCATCTAAGCCTTGTGCTCCTTTTCCTACTGGGTCATCTGCCCCTCTCCATGATGGAGCAGTTCTTTGTGTATTCTGGTTAAGAGTTCATGAGGACTGGAGGTGATAGATGCCTGCCTTACTCTGCAGCTTTTCTTTGTATTCTTTCAATATGATGGACCAAGCACCACTCATTCTATAAACCATTTTCCCAGCACTTCCCCCACACCTTTTCTGCACTTCTGTGTTTTTCATCCCTTCCACTTTACTGGTCCCAGACAACTACAATACACTAACACTCTACCCAGCCAGGTCTAACCTGCTGTTAACCCAATCTACAAAGTTCTTACTTTCATTTACTGTATTTTGCAGTTCTCTAATATAATTTTTTTTTTTAATGGTACTGACTGGGGCTTGAACTCCAGGGCCCTGTGCTTGCTAGGCAAGTATTCTATCAACTTGAGCTACAATTCCAGCCATTTTTGCTTTAAAGTATTTTTCAGATAGGGTTTTGAATTTTTGCTTGGGGCTGTCCTCAGACACTGATCCTCCTACCTATTCCTCCCACATAGCTGAAGTTACAGGTATGCAACATCACATCTACCTTATTGATTGAGACAGGGTCTCACTAACTTTTTGCCCAGTCTGGCCTGGAACCTAGATCCTCCTAATCTCTGCATCTCAAGTAGATGGGATTATAGGTATGAGCCACTGTGCCCAGCTCCATTTTTGTAATTTTTTTCACAGTTCTAGTTTTCCACTGAAATCCTTGATCTTTCAAATTCTTTGAATATGTTAGTTGCTATTGGAAACATATATAATAATTCCATTCTCTGTGTCTCATGTGGATACTACTTATCTTGGTTTGTTGTTGTTGTGTTAATCATACTGTCTT